CCACCCACTGCTCCCCTCAGCCGTGTATTTCAGTAGATCCACCTGTTCTGCTCCCCACTCTGTCTCTGAGGAACCCTCACCCCCTGCACCTCTGGCCTGTACCCCAGTTCTGTGTGTGCATAAATAAATCTTTTTAAATGAAATTTAAAAAAAAAGAAAAACGAAATGAGAGTTAAAAGAAAACTAAGGCTGTCACGTGACACGGGGAGCTCCCCACCACCCTGTGAGGTTGCAATCCCAGGCTCCTGGGACAGGTGCTGCGCTCCACGCTCCACGCGGTGCCCGCCTGTGCCCTTCTGCGCCAGGCGATGGCGCCAGAGAGCACAGGCACGGGCGATCCGCGACAACCCCTGCCCGCCCCTGCCGCCCCGCGGCTGGCCTCGCCGCCCACCTTCATGCGGCTGTAGACGGTGGAGACCGGCGTGACCCGGTGGTACTTGTGGGGGCCCAGCAGGCCGCAGAGACCGCAGATGAGCTCCTGGTCCTTCTCGCAGAAGAGGCTCAGCGGGTTGCGGTGCTGCGCGCAGACCCTGGGCTCCTGGTCCCCGGAGCGCCGCAGGGCTTCGATCACCCGGGCCAGGGAGAAGTTGGGTGAACTGCTGCCGTCCACCTCCTGCCGGCACACGGGACAGCGCAGCTCCGAGTCCAGGTGGCGGGACAGGGACAGCAGGCAGCCCTGGCAGTAGGAGTGGCCGCACTGTAGCATCAGGGGCTCTTTGAAGACCTCCAGGCAGACGGGGCACTGCAGCGCGTCCTCCAGGTCGGGCAGGCTCACCTGCCGCGCCATCCGCGGGAGGCCCAGCCGGCAGCTCCGCCCCGCGGCTCCCCGCGGCTCCCCTCCACTCCGCCCAGCGGCCAGCCCCAGGGGGCAGCTGAGAATTAGAGGGTCGTTAGAACACCCGTCCTGGGTTCCACTGGTTTCCAGTCTTGACCCTCTATGTCCTTGGGCCTGTTTTCCCACACTCACAAGAAAGGAATTGGTGGGGGGGGGGGGGAGTTACTAGGAGATACTTGATTCCCCATTTTTTACTCTGACGTGGAGGTAAATCCCAAAGAGGTCATTTGCAGTCACACTAGCAAGTTAGTCCCACTTCAAGGGAAGGTCCTTCCACCTTCCAGATGAGTCAAACTGGAAAGGAGCTGTTGAAAGCCTTGGCACATCTCCACACAGCTCCAGAAATCTGCATTTACATGGCACCTCTGGGTAATTCTAAAGCAGAGCTCAGTCTTAGGATAACTCCGTTGCAGAGCATCTGGGACCTAGGAGAGCCTTCACCTAGCCTCCCCCACCCCCAGGTAAACAGGCACCGGGTGGAAGGGAGAGCCTCCAGCCTGACTGCCCGGCTTCTCACCACCCGCCCAGCCTCGCACCAGCACCACTGACCTGATCAGCTTGGCCTTTTCTTTCCCCCCGATGGGACGGCAGGTGTGGAGTCGTGGGGATGGCAGCTGACCCCTCTCCCACTGCCTAGTCCCCGCTGTTCTCCTCCTCCCCTTTCCCAGCAATATCCCAGTGTCCTCAAGGTCGCCCAGAATCAGGTGGAAACTGGGCCGCATCATGAGACCCGGCTAGCTCTGATAACCACACCTTTCAGGTGCTAGTGTTGGTCGGAGAGGGAAGGGGCAGGGAGCGTGTGCAGGCATGACCCCAGCAGGAGCCCAGCCTCAGAGGGAGCAGACTGGTGCTTTGACACAATTCGCTCCAAAACTCTCTCACTTTCAGAAATGTTTGTACAGATTTATTTTATTTATTTATGCACACAAGAGCTGAGTCTAGGGCAGAGGTGTGGGGGTGGGAGGGGTGAGAGGATTCACCAAAGACAGAGCGGGGGGCAGAACAGGCAGACTGACTGAAATACACTGCAGAGGGGAGCAGCAGGCAGAGAGGCCTGCTGTGCCATGTGGGTCAGCTCCCTGGCCGGGGATCAAACTCCTGCTGCAGTGGCCGCAGAGAGCTTCATAGCGCTGAGACTCAACCCCTTGTGCCACCAGAGAGGCCCCTCGCTTTCAGAATTTTTATACAGCTAGTTTTGTGGCCATAATATACTCTACATGTTGTGTGTCAGGTGTGGGGTGGTTACTGATTGGAAAAGACTGGCGTGGGAGAGGCTCTCAAGAGGTGTGAGAAACAGGGTTAGAATAGCAGCCCAGCCCCCACGGCCTAAGCACCCATGTCTGCCAGTAGTAGAGGCGTCTTCTAGTGACCAAGGTCTGGCGTGGGCGGGTAAAGCTGTGTTGTTAAACCAACAAATACTTACTGAGAATCTGGTATGTGTCAAGCACTGAGCTCTCTATTAGGGTCACAGTAAAGAACAAGAAGGTCAAGGCTTCTGTTCTTTTGGATTCTGAAGCACAGTCATGCCCCATGCGTTCTTGCAGTCCACGGCGGGTCACACACCCAACGGTGGTCCCTCTGTGTGGCCCAGTGTAAGTACGGTCGGCCCTCAAGAGGCTGGTGCCCGAAAGAGGATGGTCAGTGGTCCAGGTCCAGCGTGGCTCTCCACAACGTGACTGCTCACAGCCTGCTGGGGACCAACAGCCTTGCTTCTAACAAAATCAACACATATTTTGTAGCTGTTATGCACTGAATTCTCATGACAGAGTCAGTCAAGAAAAGCATAAAGAGGCCCTCCCTGGTGGCTCAACGGGTTAGGATGCAGCACTGCAAGCTGGCCGCAGCTGCTTCCATGTGAGCTGGATCCCAGTCCCAGAGGTGACCCACATGGCGTGGCAGACCTCTGCTGACCCGCCCGCTGCTCCCCTCAGCAGTGTGCATTGTCAATCTGCCTGTTCTGCTCCCCATTCTGTCTCTGGTGAAGCCTCTCACCCCCTGCACCTCTGGTCTGTACCCCAATTCTGTATGCATAAATAAATAAATAAATATTTAAAAAGAAAAGGAAAGTATAAAGAAAAACTACATTTGCAGGACAGCGGGTTTTGGCTTAGTGGTGTATTTCTCCGTGCCAGTGTTAACACCCTTAACACCCACCCCTAAATGGATCTGTGTGGGTCACCTGTGCTTTTTGTGACATTCACAACAACGACCTGGCTTAGAGGGGCACTTCTCAGAGCCCACCACCATCATTAAGCAACACATGGCTGGGAGGGCAGGCGGGGTAGAAGTGGGGTGAGAGGGTAACATAGCAGTGAAGTAAGTGCTGTGCGCGAAAGAAACCATACAGAGTGGAGGATGGGGGCTGTGAGGTGCCCTTCAAAGGCGGGCAGGAGCAGGCCTCACAGGGGGCTGAAGCCTGAAGGAGACAGAGGCCTGCTGGAGGGCAGACCAGCGTGGGTTGGCGAGGGTGAAGAGCATGAGGCTGGAACGAATGAGTGAGACACGTGGGGCGGGGGCCAGGGTGATGCAGGCAGCGTGAGAGCTGGCTGGAGCCAGCAAGGCTGCAGGGAGGCCCTTAGGCCATGACAAGGGATTCAATCTCAAAGGCAGTGGGAGCTGTTGAAGAGTCTTAAGACAAGGGAATATCGCCCAATTTATATACATAAGTATCACTCTGGCCGCTATGCAATTAACAGATCACAGTGGCTCGAACCTCTGGGTGAAAGATGGTAAAGCCAATGTCTCATAGAGGATGGGGTGGAAAGAAGGTCAAGGAGGAATCCAGAGTCCGAGAACACCCAGGTGGAGCTGCAGAGCAGCCAGGGGTCAGCTGACGTCAGCAAATAATAGAATCACCTGAAGGGTTTGTTGAAACACAGATTTCTGGCCCTTGCCTCCAGAGTCTCTGATTGAGGAGTAGATGGGCCCGAGAATCTGCATTTCTTTTTAAAAAGATTTGTTTATGCATATAGAACTGTGGTACATGTCAGAGGTGCAGGGGGTGAGAGGATTCACTAGAGACAGAGTGGGGAGCAGAACAGTCAGACTGACGAAGCACACTGCTGAGGGGAGCAGCGGGCAGGTCAGGAGAGGTCTGCCGCGCCAATTGAGTCACCACCCTGGCTGAGGGTAGAACTCATGCTGCAGTGGCTGTGGAGAGCTTCATAGTGCTGTGCTTGAACCCGTTGTGCCACCAGGGAGGGCCCAAGTAACACGGATGCTCTGGTCTGGGAACTGTACTTTGAGAAGCACTGGAAAAGTCACTAGGCAGGGAAGCTGGTGCCCCATCACCAGGGGAGGCCCTTACCTATGCGCATCACACAGTTAAACCTATGGGAATGGCTCCAAATCTCTCAGCAACTGAGAATATCTAGGAGCAACGGTCCCTGAGGTGACCTAGAAGTCAGGCAGGGGAAGAGGATGAGAAAGCACAGCCAGTGGGATAGGGACAAATCAGGAAAGTGCTATGACCAAGAAGCTGGGGTCAGCAGAATGACCCCCCAAAGATACCTAAGCCCTGATGCCTGCATCTGCGATCATGGGGCTTAACGAGGCAAAGAGGGCTTGGCAGGTGTACTGAAGGTCATGGACTTGAATTACCTGGGTGGTTCCATCTAAGCACATGGGCCCTTAAAGCTGAGAGCTTTCTCGGGCTGGTGTCAGAGAAGTGGGCAAAGTGGAGGGTCTGAGGGCCAGGAATGCAGAGAGGTCTCTAAAAGCCAAGGGTGCCCCTGGCTGCAGGCCAGCAGGGACTGGAGACTGGGGCTTAGAGCTGCAAGGGGCTGGGCTTGCCCTAACTGGGCTTAGAAGGGAATTCTTCCCCCGAGCCTCCAGCAAGGCCACTGTGGTTGCTCTTCAACAGCTAGCTTTGTGCTGAACCTACTACAGTGACAACAAGAAGTCAGAAGAAAAAAAGCATTTCCAAGGTCAGAGAGGTCCGCTGCGTTGAAGGCTGGAGTTCAGGGGACAAAGGCAAGAGCAGCCATCCTGTGAGCTCTAGAAAGTGGTACTCAAGTGAGTTAAGAGAAAATGGGGAGTGAGGAGGTGGACTAGTTGCAAAGTCACTGGAGTCACTTGCATTTTTCTGTTTAGAATTGTGCCCAGGCCAGGAGGGATGTGGGACTAAGGGAAACTTGCTTGTTTCAAGGCGGGAGGCTTCAGGGTTATGTGTAAGCCGGAAGAAACGGCCCAACCGGCAAGGGAAGACTGGCACAGAGAGGGGCTCCCAAAGGCATCTAGGCTCCAGAAGGGCAGGACCCAGGACCAGCGGGCAGGGGTGGGACCCAGGGGTGGCTTCCTTTGACCCAGGAGGGGACGGGACAGCAGATTTGTGTGTTTAGTGATGAGAAAGTGAGAGACAGCACCTTGTTTTCTCAGAATTGGGCAGTTTGATTTTAAAGTGGGTCTAACTTTCTCCCAGTGTAAAGAAGGACAGAAAGTGGAATTAAAAGTTAATTATCCGGGCCCTCCCTGGTGGCACAGCGGGTTAAAGCACTGCACTGAGAAGCTAAAGCCACTTTCGCATGAGTTCGATTCCCGCCTGCACCGGAGGTGACCACATGGTGTGGCAGACCTCTCCTGACCCGCCCGCTG